GCGCTTTAGGGCCAACGTTGGACGACATGCTCCGAGACAGGTTAGTCTGCGGCCTCCGGGAAGAGTCCCTTCAGCGACGGCTTCTCTCCGAGCCGGAACTAACCTTCGCGGTGGCCAAAGAGAAGGCGATAGCAGCAGAGTACGCCCACCACCAGACAGAAAAGATCAGGGGGGCGTCCGCAGAGAGCAGCGATGTGTGTCGTGTTGGTAAGCAAATGGCTCCGAGAGCTAAGCCTAATGCCGAGGCAGCAAGAGAAAGGACTGCGTCGAAGTCACAGCAAGACGCTGGCAAGTGTTTTCGCTGTGGAGGGTCACACCCACCAGACGAGTGTCGTTTTCGACACGCACAGTGCCACTTTTGCAAGCAGCGGGGCCATATCGCGAAAGTTTGTCGACGAAAAGCGAAACAGTCCTCACCGACGCCTAGGCCTACAGGTCCCGAAGGAAAAATCCATCAATGTAACGCTGTTTGGCAGTCAATGTTTTCTAGTGGACCGCTGACTGTGCCTGACTGTACGTCAAGCATGTCTGATTGGACAACAAGTTACTCTGACCGACAGTCAAACTCCAGTCAGACCCCGCTTGTCGGCTTTCTGATGGTTTCCTGGTGGCAGTCGGCCGCCGCGAAATGCCATCAGGATGTCCTGGTGGTGATTCTGACTGTACATCGATTGTCTCTGACTGTACGTCAGAAAGCTTTGACGTGCAGACAGAAGTACGGTCAAAGGACGTAAAGTTCGTTCGGATACCACTATTTCGTCAAATCTATGAATACGAAAAGTAATCTATGCACGAGAAAACGATTTCGGGACGTGAGCCCATAAAACCGCTGACGTTAGAGATGTGACACGCAACCGACCGACAACCTTGATCAGAAGCCCGCCGAAGCCACCGGGCCACCGGAGCGTCGAACACTGACTACACTTCGCACTTCGCTTCGCCCATGGGGGCTTCGCCGAGCTTCCATGAACGATCGCTCTCGACTCCTTTTGTTTGCCCGCTTGCTCCAACCTGTCGATCCTGCCCGGGCTCTACAATGTCTTACGTTTTAGTAGAATTTTTACTCTACAAGACCCAGCCTGTTGTGAGTTCCGACAATGTAAGGCACTTTAGCGGTGTAGTTGAAGACGACAAGGTGTACTACTGGGCCGGAGACGCTCCAACGAAAGGAGGATTCTACGACGCGAAACTACTGTGCTTGGCAGGTGAGTAGAACTGAAGTACGGCGATTGATGTACGATTGCTTGGTTTAACTGCATATGCAGCCGAAGCACTTTTTAGAGCGATGCACTCATTGTCGGAACCTCTCGCTGCAATACTGAAATGCTCTTGACTCGGTCCGAGAGGTTTAGGCAAGAAAGTTTATATCTTTCTATCAGGTGTGCACGGTAAAAACATTCCGTAAAAAAACGTAGAGCTTCTCATTAAAAGCTACGGAGAAGCATCCGTAATCTGAAATACGATTGACTTGTCCGTAAATCTAAAGTTACGATTCTTTAAACAACTAAAATTGTTTGCGACAAGCTGAAAGTTGTTTTATTTGGTTTAGACTAATAGACAACGGTTCTCACATTTTAAAGAATCATTTATTGCACTGTCAATCAACTAATGGTAAACGTTCCGAAACGAGGTGGCGCTAGTTACCGCTCAATTGAAAAGCACGAGGTAAAAGTTTTGTCTAGTATAATCACACTGCCGCTATCTCTTCATCTACCCCTCCGCTCGGTCGTTTTGCTGCCGTTACGGCCGTACCGCCGTACTGCCGCGCTTGTTTTGTCGAGGGGTAGAGGTGCTTGGTGGTTTTTGTGCGAGCTTTCCTTGTTGCTATCAAAACGGTGAGTTTGTTCTGCTCTTTTTATTAACATTGATCGGGGACTGTCATATATACGTTCGTATTTTTGACACTTCTTTCCTCGAAAGAAACGAAACCGCGGATTTGCGTCGCTTGAAACTTTCGGGTTCAATGACTGTCGCTGCTATCTCAGTTCGTGTTTGACGTTCTCAGAGTTGAAAGCTCAAGTCGGGTGCTCGTTTGAACCTTGTGTCATGTCGTGAGCTCGCTGGGACCAATGGGACGCGCGCGGTTCGTCGTTTGTAGCGATTGGGAGGCTATTCGCGCGTGCTGGCCATACCTCGGCAAACCTCACTCATGAGGGCCCTCACTCACCCTCACTCACCCTCATCCTCACAGGTGAGGTGAGGGTGAGTGAGTTTCTGAACCAGGAAAATTCATGAGTGTGAGGGTGAGTGAGGGCCGTGAGGGCGGTGAGGGCGGTGAGGGCGGTGAGGGCTGTGAGGGCGGTGAGGGCCGTGAGGGCGGTGAGGGCGGTGAGGGCCGTGAGAGCCGTGAGGGCCGTGAGGGCGGTGAGGGCCGTGAGGGCCATGAGGGCGGTGAGGGCGGTAAGGGGTATGAGGGCCATGAGTGCGTGAGGGGCGTGAGGGCGGTGAGTGGCGTGAGGGCCATGAGCGCGTGAGTGGTGTGAGGGTGGTGAGTGGCATGAGAGGCGTGAGGGCGGCGAGTGCATGAGGTGGTGTGAGGGCCATGAGTGCGTGAGGGCGGTGAGTGCGTGAGGCCCCCTTCAGATCGAGCATCTTTCTCAGCAATTTTGGTGTTAATGACGGGTTGTTCTCTAGCTTTCCCTAGATCGACACGAATTGCTGAGATCGGGTCCGGCTCGAAATAAGCAAGCAGCTCGGAGCAATTCGAATACGTTTGAAGCCGCTGCATCCAATCAGGGACGCAAAATTTTCACGTGATACCTCGTGCCGGTGATGATGGCACCGAAAGACTTGGTTCTGGTTTGAAATCGATAATGGTAAACGTTCCGAAACGAGGTGGCGCTAGTTACCGCTCAATTGAAAAGCACGAGGTAAAATTTTTGTCTAGTATAATCACACTGCCGCTATCTCTTCATCTACCCATCTCCGCTCGGTCGTTTTGCTGCCGTTACGGCCGTTACTGCCGCGCTTGTTTTGTCGAGGGGTAGAGGTGCTTGGTGGTTTTTGTGCGAGCTTTCCTTGTTGTTATCAAAACGGTGAGTTTGTTCTGCTCTTTTTATTAACATTGATTGGGGACTGTCATATATACGTTCGTATTTTTGACACTTCTTTCCTCGAAAGAAACGAAACCACGGATTTGCGTCGCTTGAAACTTTCGGGTTCAATGACTGTCGCTGCTATCTCAGTTCGTGTTTGACGTTCTTCTCAGAGTTGAAAGCTCAAGTCGGGTGCTCGTTTGAACCTTGTGTCATGTCGTGAGCTCGCTGGGACCAATGGGACGCGCGGTTCGTCGTTTGTAGCGATTGGGAGGCTATTCGCGCGTGCTGGCTCGCTAGAGTTGCAGTAAAGCACGTGACAACCCATCGTCTGAGTGCGTGAGTGCGCTTTACGAGTTTCGCATCGTTCGCGCTTCCTGTAGCCTTCTCATTTCGCCGAGGGGTCCATATTGTTTCGTCGAAATTCGTTTCGCGGCAGTACGTTTCGTGGACAACTTTTTATGGACACGTTTCGTCGACACGAACGTTTCATCGACACTCGTTACGCGAATTTCATGCTGCAGTGACGTTTCGCCACTCGTGTATCACTGAAGTGCGCGTAAACCCACACCCCCGCCTGCGTTCACACCACTTCGCGGCGACAGTCTGCGGCTGCTCGTTACAAAAATGTTAACCCACCTAACCGACCCGTACAGGTCGCTTCGCGGCGACAGTCTCATGCAGCTTACCCCCCCCCCCCCCCCCCCCCCCCCGAAAAAAAAAAAGAAGGTTAATTCGAGCTGTCGATGAAACGATCTGTCGAGGAAACGTCGTTCGATGAGCTGATTCCCCGTTGGTGTATCACCACTGCGTACTTCACGTTCACTGGTTGGTTAGCAGTCATAATGCAGCCGATGAATTTCTCATTTCACAGAATGCACTTGTGTCACTGTACGCTGATTCCCCCCAACCAGATGGTCTAAGATCATCGTATTGATATTCATTTTTATGCTCATAATATTCTATGTGTATATTAAAGCAATACACCTCCGCTCAATACTTGCACGGCGCCACTCAGGAGGGCATGTAATACCACTCTTCCACGGACTGCAAAATTGTGTGCATTAATCTTGGCTCCTCAGTCAGACTGTTTGTAAGGAACATAGCCACCGTTCCTGCAGTTTCAAATTGTCTGAGATGCAAGCTCATATTTTTTTCAGGAGGCGTCTTCAACGACAATTGCTTCCTTGTCACTGAGCATCGGCCAATGTTTAAAGAGCCTATGCCATTCTTGAAGGCGGTATGCGTCTTGTTTGGAGCTTTTTACGTGTTGAATTTACCTATTCAACGGAAGCCTTGGCCACTCTCGAGTTTATGCAAATGTGAGAAAATCTTGAAATGCGTCAAGTCCACAGGATGTGTCATAGAATGGCATAATCTAGATTACCCTATCATTTATCGTGCCGTAGCGCCCTTTTTCACAACTCGCACACACATTTGAGCTGTACTAATTTTACAAAGAATTATGCTGCTGCATATTTATAATGAATTGATAACGTGGGAACACTGGTTGTCATTAGGCTGTAACTTTCAAGGCAGGGAAGCATGGTTATCTTGTATAGACCAGCACGCGGCACTGACGCCACGCAGCTGTGGTGGCGCTGTCGGCGGCACAGCGCAGACGCTTCACTTTACGCGAATTTGGTTTTTGCGCACGCACAGTGCTCACACCTGTGTGGGCAAACGCGGACTTGCTTATAAACAGGGTGTCGGTCTATAGAATGTGCGCTTGTTCAGCAGTCATTCAGGTTTAACATGTTCCAACACTACCATAGTCTGACTCGATAGTAAAAAATAAATGGCTTCACCTTCACCAGGCTGAGTATGCTTGAGGCAGGCATGGCATTAATGTTAGATGATGCAATATATCCTCCTAGACCAATCTTCCAAATCAACCTGGAGAAGGGCTTGAAGAGAATGGGAGCAGTGAAGCGAACGACGGCCCAGCTCAAGATTTTAGCGATGCTGAAGGGCTTCAAATGAAGTCTCCACAGAAATCCCTTGAACCTGTATGTTTTTTTATGGTAAGTGCCAATTTGAATTCCTACACATCTAGCATGTACCTAAGGGGAAGACAACTCTAATGTGACTGATGCCAATCTTTTGAGAAGCGTAACAGATGGCTTTGTGAGTATTCAGAACTTTCAAATATCGAAGCGAATGATGTCATATTTTATTTATACTTTCATCGGATAGGACGGTTCGGCAGTTGTATGAATTTTCAATCTGAGAATGCTCCAGGACACACCATCGTAAAAAAGCAACTGAAACGACTCACAAAAGCCCACACAGAAGTCTGGGAACTGTATGCAAATAAAACTTATTTCAACTCGTTTATTTAAAACGGGAAGGCATCCTGTAATTGTAACCACAGATGGTTGATCTGTAAAATGTTTGAGCCCCCAGAGCCAATACATGATTTGCTGCGGTATGCTGCTGTGAACCGGTGATGCATGCATGCAGTGCGAGTGCTACAGTGTCAAGGCAGATGTGGGCGACATGATATGGTATTTATATCCCGTGTTATTAGGAGTCTGCGTCTGTTTAATTACAGCAACCGGCATCCTGCCACTTTACAAATTATCTCCTTGCAACTTTTTTGCCCCTTGCTCTCGCGCAAAATAATTATTCGTTTGATATTTAAATGTATTATTATGAGAGGGGGTGCAACGATTTTATGATTAAGAAAATTTGCATCTCGTCATTTTTACGTTTATCACGTCCCGGAGGATACAGAAAACATCTCCTTCATTAAGAATGTTGCGATTCCGCTGCATAATCGCAAAACAAACGCCAAGCTTTTTCCCCCACCTGCAGCCGCAAGTGGCAGCCGAAGGAACTACGGCTAGAAGATTACGTGCCCTCGCTCGGCTCCAAGCTGCAGCATAACGCCCGCTAATGTCAGCAGAGAGAGGGAGAGGAAGCGACCTCAGAGATAGCACACGGGAACCTACACGGCACTCCAAATGACGTCACTAGGAGTGCGACCAGGTGTGACCCTGAAGTCTGGGAGTGAGTTGAGGGGTGCCCGAAATGCCAATAGCTGTCTTTTTTTTTTACGCAACAACTAGGACGCGCAGGCGAAATCGGTTTCCTGTTCTTTACTTCAGAAGTGTCGGAGAGCAACCTCCACAAATTTTTGACCGAAGTCCGGAAATCGTTGCACCCCCCTTTAAATAGTAACTTTTAAGCTTTGAACTAAGTGAAGCCTCATGGTTCTTTCTTTTTGTTTTATAGAGGTTTTTCAAAGCACAAGTCGGCCGGTCTGCCAGCCACCTGCAGCCATGCTTGCACTGCATGATTACTTAGCATGTCCAGTGCCAACTGCTATTTAAGCTGCTCTAACCTGATTAAATTGACAGTTTGACAATCTTGTGTCTTGTTTTTCAGAAAATACAGTGTGCACCTCAAGACGTCAAGCTATGTTTGACGACTTAACCATTTGAACCAGTTGAATTACGGAGTCAACTTCGCTTTTGTATTTTTTTTTATGGTAAGTCTCCAGTCTGAGTTCTTACACAATGAGCATGTCCCTGAGGGGGAGGCAACGCTGATGTAGCTGATGTCACTTTTTCGACAACTGTTGTAGCGATATCAGCCACATCTAACATGTTGCCCCTAAAGCCCCAGTTTGAACATGTATCAAGCCTTTTTCTAATGCATATTTTAGCAGATTATGAGTTAACATCAAAATGGAACTGCATGGTTTATTCTTGTTTTGTAGAGGTTTTTCAGGGCACAAGTTGGCTAATCTCTTGCAGCCTCCTGCAGCCATGCTTGGACTGCAGGGTTACTTTGCATGTCCAGTGCCAACTGTGGTTTAAGCTACTCTCACTTGCTTTAACTGGCATTCTGACAGTCTTGTGTATGTCTTGTTTTTCAGAAGATACGAAATGTCGAGCAACGTTTTATGATTTAACTATTTGAACAAGTCGAGTTACGGAGTCAACTTCGCTGGTGTATTTTCATGGTAAGTAAAAAGTGAGTTATTACAGATCAAGCACGACTCTGAGAGGGAGACAACGCTGATCCAGCTGGTGTCACTTCCGACAAGTTTTGTAGTAGTGTCCGTCGCATGTAACATTGTTTTGACCCCAACTGGTGTTACTATTCACTATAGCTAGATTCAATCCTAATATGCTAAATTCATTTGAATCTAGTTACTATAGCTAAATTCAAACATACTAGGTCACCTGCTGCTGGCTTTTTGTAGCCGATGAACTTGCCACGTTTGAATCGCAGGTAGTATTAAGTAGTGACACGTTGCAAGCAACATATTGATGTAACAATTGTTTTCTTGGTAACACTAACTGTCACACGCTAAGTTTGTGGGAAGTAAGTTCTGTATCACGTTATTTTTACTGAATAAAAAAGTAGCAATGTTCTTTTGGAGTTAATTTTCTAATTACAGTTACATTGAGGAGCATGATGTGATGCATACCTTATATCTAGATTGTCATGGATAGACAATGACCAAAAAGATTATGCACTTCGGATTATGGATGACAAGTGCCAATGACAAAGCGCAGCTGGCAATGCAGAGAAAACACTGACAACAGATAAACAAGGAGAATATTTTTTCTCAACTCCCTCCAAAAGTTGTGCTTACAGTGAGGATCAGTGGTGGAGAAAGGTAACCTCAGAGGCAATGGCTTTGTATATTGTTGAGGTTTTAACCAGGAACAAATCCTTGTGCATGCAAGCCATTCCACCAAGTGTGCCAGTTGAAAGCTTGTTCAGCGATGGAAATGGATGTGCTTGCCTTCAGTAATGTAAAACTTTTGGATGAAAATTTAGAAAAGCAACTGCTGCTTCAGTATAAGATGTAATAACACTGATACAGGCACTTTGTGCAAAAAACCTGAGCATAGCCGGTTCCTAGTTTTCCTTGTTTATTTGTTTAATAAAAGAAGTAAAGTAAGATACTGGAATTACCTCTTAGGAGTAACCAATATAGGCTACGTTTTTCTTAACTAGCTTAATTAGGTAGTCTTTTTATATAAAGTATCTTGCCCAAGGCGACAAATATTGTAAGGGTCCTCTAATCGCATAATTTTTTCGCTTAGTTTATGTCGATGCCTACAAGGTCTTGCTCTAAGATTTGAAATATGTTTTCTTGTATATTCTAACACATTATAAGGTAACCTTTAAGTAAAGGGAACTGCATGGTTCTTAAGTCTTGTTTGTAGGAATTTCTTGGAGCACAAGTCAGCTGATTTCTGGCAGTCTCCTGTGGCCATTGTACTGCAGGATTACCTTGGATGGTTATAGCCAGCAACGATTTAAGCAACTCTCATTTGTATAGATTGTCATTCGTGCTTGTCTTTTTTTTTTTCAGGAACTACGTTTGGAATTGTACAACGTGGAGCAGTTTTTGACGATTGGTCACTTTGAAAAAGTCATTTTGTGGAGTTGGCTGCACATGTTTTTTGCTGGCAAGTAAATAGTTCAGTTTTTTAAAATCTAGCATGGTCTGAGAGAAAAGCAAACTTGATGTGACTGACAGCACCCTTCTGAAAACTGTTTAAACAATATTGATCACATCTAACCAGGGTTTTTCTCACAGTGGGTGGCAGTGGTTTCGCTGCCCACTAGTCCTGCTAGCTGCCCAATTCTTTGAAAAATGTCTTGTGGCCTTCATGTCTTGGCACAGAAATCGCTGTGCTCGGCGGACTTCTGTGCCAAGACATGCAGGTACAGGTCCCCACAACCCAAATTAATACGACTTGGTTGAGGTGCACGCAGAAGAAAGATACAGCTGCTGCCTGTGTCCCCCTCCCCTCCACAGTCATAGTCGGATGCCTATTTGTCCACAATGTATGGAGAAAAATCTGTGTCTAACATTTATTCTATCCTAACTTGTACAGCTTCACTAGATCAAAGGCCACAGTTATTAAGAAGGCCTTCCACAAGATTGGCTTTTTCCTCGTCTGTGCTGATCCGATATGGTCTCTATAAATTAATTTTATGCAGTTGGCTTCACATATTTATTTCTTGTAGATATAAAAGAACTGGTGTAATGAAAGTTTCATGGTACCTTTTTTTTAATGGGTTGCTCGTCTCGGCTTGACCTATTTTCACTTTAAATTCGACAGCGTTTGTGGGCGAACATTTTTGTCACTTTTCACCAGTCGGTTGGTCTGTTTTATGGTTTGTGTGACCGATTTGACTCTAGCACAGGCAATGGCAGAGGCACATGATGACAGCTTGGTTTGTATGAGCGCTCACGCAGAGAGAAAGCTTTTTAAAATCGTGCATCTGACCCTATGCTTTTGTCAGCTCCAAATCCAACTTGTAAATTGGAGTATATGGCATGCAGGTACACCAAAATGCATCGTTTGCACACATCGAAACAGTCTCTCAGAGAAAATTATGAAGGGTCCGCCTTTCAACGGGCAACAAAAGAAATGCGCAGCCAGAATGCGCTGACGAGGTGGCCAAGCAAGCTCCTTGAGTGGTAGGCACTTGGGGTAAAGGGAATGGCTAGATCACATTTTGGGGGTAATCAGGTGCACAAAGTGTGGAGCTTGCAAACAGACTTGCATGCCATATATAAATACTCTAAATTTTTACCACTCGCTCAACTCAAAAGCGTGTGCACAGGTGTGCTCAAACGTGGGTAGGATGGAGCTCCCAAATTGTAAGATTGGGGACTATAGACTAAGCTACTGCTTAGTCCCCAGTTTTTGATAGCAGCTTTAGTACACATGCACTCTTTCACCCGCTCAGTTCTGTGAAAACCTTCAGGGATATCTAAAGAGAAAATCATGTTTCTATGTTCACACACTCTAAGCACTCGAGGCTGACCACCTGATCCGACAACGAGAAAGAGTGCAACTAGCCCTTCGTTCTAATGGGAGATTTTGAGTGGCTGCCCAAACTTATAAAAGTCTGGGATATGAGCTAAGCCAGTTTTACATAGACTCTTCTGCAACATCTCATGAACCTTAGAAATAAAGCATTACTCAAACTGGATCGAGTTTTCCGGTTGGTTCGTCAGTTCTCAAGAAATGCTTCACATTATAAACCAAATCACTATTGCAATTCCGGCCTTGGAATTTTTTTCCAAGTTTTGAACGAATTTAGGCTTGAAGTGTATCGGTTTTGACTAAGGAACAGGAGAACAAGACCCTCAAGTCAAACATTGGTTTTAGATATGGGATCACAGGATGAACAATTAGAGGCAATGTCCATTTGACTTTTGTATAAGATTCATGGCTAATAATTAAATGGACTGAGGGGGCTGTGTTTTATGCACAAGCTCAATTTGCATCTGATATAGATATTTAATTATTTTTTCTCTGTTTTCTCTTTAGCACATCGTGCTACATGCAGCATCTGAAAACAAAGGCCAAACACCACGGGGGGCTCTACTTTGGCTCTTCAAGGACCCACATAAAGTGTTCGAAGGTACTTTTCTTATTTTCTCATTAATTATTCAGGTGACATTGCATGATTGCTGCAAGCAGCATAGGAAAGAGTACTCAGTATTCGTTTAAAGGGATCCTTTTCCAATTCAAAATTCTGTAACTTTTTTTTTTATAGAAAACCTGGTTGTATCAGCGTCATAATGAACATTACTTTATGTATAGGGCAGCATCACTAAGGGACTGGCTGTTAAGTGAACTGGAGAAATCTGTACCTACAAGCATTGAGCTCATTTTCTTACCAAAGGTCTATTTTAGCAGTGAACACCATTGTGACATGTAAAGGCACAGTTCCGTCTCTGCGGAATATGAAAACAGCATTCTCTATATTTTCAAGCATGAGTGCCGACGCAGATGAGTGAGTGACGTTTGGTGTAGTCGAGAAGGTGTTTTATATCGCTGTTTAGAAATGCAATGACTGCGGTGGTCAGTCAGACTGCAGATAATGTTTTGTAATCCCACTACCTTCTATAATTCTGCACATTGGTCTGAATGCCAGAACTGACAGAAGAAAAAATAACTGACATTGAGGAAACTTGCTGCAGATGCATTGCTCAGCTGTGTTGCCTGCTTTCCACAACAGGTTGTGGCAGCTCTCGATTGTATACATTGGTGCCCATTGTCAAATTTAAATAATGTAGTTCTATTTTTCACAGACTGGAGTTGTACCTTAAAAGTTTTCATGGGAATCTGTGTAAACCTTTGATAAGTTCAGCTTGCTAGATGAAGGCATTAATTCTTCTAGCTCATTTTACAGCCCACCTTTCTATTGACACCGCCCTATGCGGAAAGCAAGTCGTCTGCTTCTTGCACAGACATTATGGTGATGTCAGAACGGTGACGAACTCTCGTTGGCTTTGATTGGAAGGATATAGTGGGTAGACCACAATGCTAGACACCATGAGGTCTACCCCCTATTTTTTTTGTTCAATGAGCCAATAAGAGCTCGGCCTTCTGACATCACCGCAACCCCTGTGCAAGAAGCAGACAAACTTGTGCTCCGCATAGGATTACGGATACTCAAGAGTGCTTTCCGTAACATAGGTTACGGAAAGCCTACTCTGCTTGCCCTTTTACCAACAACTTTTAAGCACTTTTATGGATACTAGAGCGATTTCCGCAATAGGTTTTACGGAATGCATATTCCAGTCCGTTGTTTTACGGACAGCTCTTGAATAGCGTTATGGATAGTAGAGCACTTTCCATAATCTGTTTTGCGGAATGTCCTTTTATTTACGGATTATGTATGTGTTTAAAAGGATTTTTCCGTTATTAGAATTATGGATGACCTTTCCGGCGGCATAGGTGCCAGAGAATTTCTCCGTAAAAGAGGGCAAATTTTTTTACAGATGGGCTATTGGCATTACCGCTATGTTGCAGCTCATTATTATTGTTTCATGAAGAGCGCAGACAAAAAGCATCCACGAGCGTAGTTCAGATATGTCTGCTGCTCGCGTTCGTCCGTAGAAGCCAGGGCTG